TATCTGGAATTAACTGGACATTTAGGTTTTTTATAGAGTCATGTTTAGTTGTTTGTAAATTTCTATTTGTGCTAATTTCCTACTTCGGGTGTTATTTTTAGTGTTAGAATTTTCTTTTGAGGGAAGTTAGGGTTCGACGGACATTTAGAAATTATATGCTTTCTGACACTTTATTACCACCCCCTTCGGGGGGTAGCAGTGATCAGTCGACTCAAACGAGTTTGAAATAGAACCACAGGGGTAAATCATGTATTTTAGTATTTTTTTAGATTCTTGTCTTTAAATTTTCAATACAAATAAAGTACTACGGCTAGACTGCATCGTTAACAATTAAAAAAAAATTATTTCGACTAATAATATGCAGCATTTAATTTTTCCTTTCCAAAATTACAACAAATTATTCAAGATTAAGCAAAATCAGTATCTTTAACTTTAGATTTTTGGACAGCTAAAAATCATCAATGTTATCTTGGAATTACTTGTTCTTTTCTTGATAATACATTTAATTTGCGTGAATTTATTTTAGATATTGCTTATATAAGATATCCACATACGCTGATCATATTCTTGAATCACTTGAGTAAGTATTGGAAGAATGGAAAATTTGTGAATTAGTCTTTACTATTACAACTGATAATGGCAGTAATATTAAAAAAGCAATTTGGAATATGAAAGGAGTTAATTGGTTAGGATGGATGCACAGCACATACTTTGCAATTAGTTATTAGAAAATGAATGAAATTAGCAAGAATTTTAATAGTATGTGCTAAATGTCTTATTGATTTTTTTTACAATCAAAGTAAAGTGAACGTTTGTAAGATATTCAACAAAAATTTCCAGATTTAGCAGAAGATGATTTTGAAGAAGAAGTAAAAATTGTAAGTAATTTTTTATAATTTTTTTTTTAATATTTTAGAAATTATATTAAAATTTATATATAATATAATATAGAATTCTAAACAAACATCTGAATATCTTCTTCATGTTATTTCTGATTCACCAACATGATGGAATTCTTCATTTCTTGTTTGAAAATGGCTTTTGAAATTGCAAAAGCATATTAATCTATTAATTGGTTTACTTACTACTAAGAATGATCAAGATTCTAAAAAAGATTATAAATAATTAAATTTTATTATGTTAACTTTAGAGGAGTGGGATCTAATTCGTGACTTAATACTAATATTAAATCCTTTTGCAAAAGCTACAGAAATTTTAGGTGAAAGTAATTACTGTATACATTCAATAATGAATCCTATATTAATTGATATTAAAAAATGATTTTATCACATGGTATTATAGCAGTTGAAAGAATTAATCTTAATAATAATGGCATTTGATGAAGAGATTGTGATAGAAGATAATGAACAATCGCTACCAAATAATGTTACTAGAAAAATTAGAATTAATGAACCCATTAATTGTAATAGTTTAATTGAAAAATCAAACTCAACTGTTTTGCAGCAATAGAGCATTATTGGAATGATCTTATATCTCCTGATATGCTTCTTCTTCCTAGTCTTTTGGATCTAAGAATGAAAGATCTTAGTTTTGTTACTAATTCAGAATGTCAAGTAACTGAAAATTTATTAAAAGAAAAATATGAAGAATTGAAGTCTCAAGATCAAAATAATAATTCTAATTCATCATCATCATCATCAACAAATGTAAGTGAGAGTAAAGGTAAAAAAATATTTACAGTTTTTGCAAATTTAAAGAAAAAGGTTTCTTCAGTAGATGATGAAGTTGCTTTATATTTACAATTAGAAAAAATTGATTTGAAAATTAATCCATTTACATAATGGTATGAACGAAAAAAAAAGTTTCTCATTTTAAATCTTCTTGCTAAAAAATATTTAGCTGTTTATGCATGTTCAACTGCTAGTAAAAGGTTATTTTTGGATGTAGGTAATTTATTAACAGTAAAGAGAACTAGAATATATTCTAAATTGTTCAAAAAGTTGATGTTTTTCAAACGGAATGGTAAGCATTTAGATTCAATTTTTGAATCTTAAAATCCTTATATATTGTTATCAACATTATATTCAAATAAAGTTAATAATCAAATTTTATTTTACATATCTCATATTTAAAAATGTTAATGGTCATACAGTGTCACGTTTAAAATACCCTATATAAATAATTTTCAATTGAATCACATTATTCTATTGCATTTATGATCTTTTTTTTTTTTTTTTTAAAAAAAAAAATTGCTTAAGTCTCTTTCAATTTATATTAAAGAATATTTTCCCATAAATTGACCATTTATTGTTTCTAAAAAAAAAAAGTTATTATGTAAGAATTTTTTACTAATAATAAACTAATCATACACTTATTATTATGACCAGTCATAACTGTTTGTATCCATACAATTGTATTGGGTTATTCTTGAACGGGTTTATTTTTTTTTCTTTAGAAAAATGCGTAGGTAATGTTATAATCACGTAAATAAAAAAAAGATATGTATATGTAACTACAATTAAATTATATAAATCTGTATATTTCATAGCATTTAGTGTTAGTTAATTTGAAAGAAAACAGTTGGTTAAGATAAGCCAGCTATTTCAGTTAATTATAAATTTTAAGGCAATAGTAGTGTTTGTCTTATATGTTGCTATATTATGTCTTATATGCAATAATATTATTTTAATTTATATGATTAATAAAATCATCTTATAATTCGTAAATTGAAATTGTATAAAAATTTTTAATAATCTAACAAATAATAATGCGGATGATGGATTTGCAGATTGATTCTTCACTTTTTTTTAAAAAATAAACAATCTGATTCCTTTAAATAAAAAACAACTAATTCTTTTTTTTTTAAATAAAAACAAAAAAAAAACAAAGCAAGATAAAAAAAAATTAAAAAATAAATGATTAAATTAAATATAAATAATACATTCAAAAAACCTAGGCTAGATATTCATATTTTAAATTTAGGCTGGTATAAAATTCATATTTCAAGTCTTGGTTTCAAAATATAGTGATAACCTGATTTATACCAATTTATATATTAAAAAATCTGGGTACCCAAACCCAAACTGTAAAAAATCTCTTAGCTGCTATTGTAAAGCTCTACTCATGTGAATTACATAGGTAATGATAATAAAAATAACATTAAGTAATTTTATGTTTTCTAATAAATTAAATCAGGTAAAAAATTTTTAAAAATCTGACAGATGATTCACAAATCATCTGTTCAGATCAGATATCTATTCATCGGATGACAGATGATCTGCAGATCACATGATTGTGGATAACGGATAACAGATGATCTGCAGATTAGAACACTAGTGTAATATTATATAAACTTATGATAATAAAAGAGATTTCGAAAGTTTATGAAAATTTATACTATGAATTTGTTTATAATATATTATATCTTTCAATAAAATGTAATTTAAAACTTTTAGTCATATAATATTTCATAAATTTATTGAGTTTAATATATTTAAATTTATTTATATATAAATTATACTTTATTTAAAACAATTTGAAAATAAATTACAAACAATATAAGTTAAAATATAAAAGAAAATATTACAGAAATGAGGTTATAGTAATATATATCATTATAGCAAATCCTAAAACTACCATCCTAATTTGTAGATTTACCTTAATCAATAGCAAAAAAATCCACTTCTATTATAGCTAATTTCATAATTCATGGATCATTAATAAATTGTGACTGAATGTGACTAAAAAATTATTAATAGTCAATAATCAAAAAAATAACCATTCTGATTTGTAAACTTACCTTAACTAAAGATAGTTCTCAAAATTGGAAATATATAAGAATACTTCAAATACGTAGAAAAAACAATGATGATAAATTGGATTTTAGGTCAAGAGTTTAATAGATTAATGTTATAAAGATAAAGTTTGATTTATTAATAAAATATAAGTGGATTGATACAAATTAATAAACTAAATAAGCTCTTATTCATAAACTTATCAGAATATAAATTTCAAATTAATTCTTTAATTAATTTAACTAAAATTAAACTGAATTTAATTTAACCTTTATAAATCTTCTTTTTACTACAATAATTTCCTATCCTATTTATAGTATATAAAATATTTGATCTACTTTTATTACTAATTAAAGATAAAGAAAAACTATAAAAACTAAAAATATATTATAAACTTTATTAATTTAATTAATTTAACTAATTTAATTAAGTAAACAAAAAAAACTTATTAAACTTAAATAACTATATAAACTTAGTTAATAATAATATTATTATTTTTGAGGTTTCAGTCATTTTGATTATTGGACTGCGGCTTAAGAAATTAATGTTTTTTTTAGTAATAATCTATAGAGTTATAATAATAGTCATTTTTTTCAAATTATCTTAGCTTTTATTAGTCTAATAAGCTTATGCATATATTTATTGGAAGCTCTTAATAAGATGGTTCTAATGATCATATTTTCAGTAAAATATAATCATTAAATCAAAAGTTATATTAATTAACAGTATTATGCAAATCGTAATATTTTAATAAATTAAAGTATTATTATTAATAATACATAAAAATTTAAATATTTGTATTATATAAATTAGTAATATTTTAACAAATTAAAGTATATTATTAAATTAACAATAATACATACTTTTTGTATTATATAAATTGATGATATTTTAATAAATTAAAGTATTATATCAAATTAACAATAATGTTATACTTTTAATATTATATAATCAGTGATATTTTAATAAATTAAAGTATTATTATCAAATTAATGATAATACATACTTTTTGTATTATAAAAATCAGTAATATTACTAGTAAATTAAAGTTTTGTTATAAATTAACAATAATACACTGGTCAAAAATGATACAATTCAGCCAAAAATCAGATATCTGAATTGTGTCTGAATTATAGCTAAATTGTAATAAATTTGGTCTAATTCCTATTGGCATAATTCAGCTAATTCAGATATAACAATTCAAATACAATTTGACCTAAAAATTAAGCTTAAAATCAATCTTAATTCAGCCATAATTCAGACACAATTCAGCCAAAAATCATCCTAATTTAACCATTAAAATCAACCACAAATCTATCATAAATCAAATACAAATCAGACATAATTTGCCAAAAATTAACCTAATTCAACCATCTAAAATCAACCTAAAATCGCAAATCAGAACTAATATAACAAATTTAAATTTATTTAAATTTATTAAATTTACATTTTTATTATTTTACATAATTGATAAATTTAAATTTCTTAAAAAGAAACACTTTTAATATATATAAAATAAAGTAAAATACAGAAATAATTCAAAAATTTAACCTTCAATTGACTTATCATAAAGTATTTCTAAAAAATAAAAAAAAAAGGAAAATGATAAATTTTCACCCAAAAAGTTACAAAACCTTTTTAATTCTTACTGGTATTTTTTAATATTTTAAGATCTACTATGATAATGAAAATATATTTGTATTAAACTAAATATTTAGTTTTAGAAGTAATATAATTTTTTGCAAAACCTTTATTATTAAATTTCTTTAATTTTGATATATTTGTAATTTTAGAAATAATAATACAATTTTTTATGTTATTTTTATAAAAATAAGTTCTTTTTAATTTTGTTATATTTATTAAAAAAATCTAAAGAAAAAATATTTTACTGATTTTTATAAATACTTGAGTTTTATTTATATATTTATGAAAAGCATATTTTTAATGTGTATTACTGGTCAAAATCAAAAAAAATCGCTATTTGCTATTTATTGGCAATTTAGACTAAATTCAGAAATCAGTCAAAAATCAGATATCATATTTATGACTGATTTATGATAGATTAGAGTTGAGCCAAAAATTAATTTCAATTGGTCTAATAGAACAATTATCCAAAAAGAACGATTCAATATCATTCCAATCGGATGATACAAATCTGATAGGAACAATTAAAAAATCGTCTTTTTAGAACGATAAATCATCATTCAATAAGAACGATCAAAAAAATTATCACTTTGAACGATTCTTTTGGAATAATAAATCAATCGTTCATTAAGAAAAATCAAAAAAATCGTTCTTTTGGAATGATAAATCATCATTTTTATTAAACGATTTGAAAAATCATCCCTTTAAGATAATAAATCATCATTCAATAAGAATAATTTAAAATGTCATCCCAAAGGGATAATAAATCATTCGTTCATTAAGAACAATCAAAAAAATATCCTTTTGGAATAATAAATCATCGTTTTTATTAAACGATCAAAAAATCATCCTAAAGGGATAATGAATCATCGTTCATTAAGAATGATTTAAAAAATTGTCCTAAAGGGACAATGAATCATCATTCAATAAAAACGATTTAAAAAATCATCCTAAAGGGACGATAAATCTATCATTCTATAAGAACGATAAAAATTATTCCTTTTGGAATGATGATCATTCGATTTGAATGATAAAAATTGTTCCTTTTGAAACGATAATCTTTCGATTTGAATGATTTAACATCATTTCAATCAGATGATGCAAAATCGTCCAATTGAAACGATCAAACTAATTATTCCAAAAGAAGATACACTATCATTCAAATCAATATCATCATTCTAATTAGATGATAAAAAGTTGTCTGATTGAACAATCAAATTGTCTTCTAAGAAACAATACAAATCATTCACTAGAAACGATGTTTCAATTGGACAATACAACAATCATCCAATTGGCTAGAACAATTATAAATAAATTTCGGATTAATTGAAAACTTTCAGATTAATCTGAAAAAATTTTTTCCTTTTATTTTAACCTTTTTCTATTTTTTTTAGGAAAATTCTCATTTTGGAAATGTGGTAAATCATTCTTTGAGTAAAAATTTACTATTTTTCTTATTTTTTCTTGTTTTTTTTTTAAGAAAATTTTCATTTTAAAAATAAAAAACAAATTTTTAGGTGAATTTTTCTTTCTTTTTTTTGTTTTTGTAGGAAAATTCTCATTTGAAAAAAAGAAAAGTAAATCAGAAGTAGGTTTTTGGACATATTTTTTTTTTTCTTGTTTTTTAAAGAAATTTCTCATTTTGAAAATAAGAAATGTAAATCTGAAATAACTTTTAAGTGGACTTTCCCTTCTTTTTCTTTTTTTTAGGAAAATTATTATAGAATTAAGGTAAGCAAATTGTTGGTAAATTTTTGAGAATTTCTTAAAGTAAGCAAATTGTTAATGATTTTTTGGGTGAAAATTTACTATTTTCCTTTCTTTTTCTTTTTCTTGTTTTTTTTTTAGAAAATTTCTTATCTTGATTCTTAGTGAATTTTTGGGTGAAAATTTACCATTTTCTTTATTTTTCTTATTTTTTTTAGGAAATTTCTTAAGATAAGCAAATTGTTGATGACTTTTTAGGTGAAAATTACAATTTTCCTTTCTTTTTCTTATTTTTTTAGGAAATTTCTTATCTTGAAATTAAGGTAAGCAAATCATTGATGACTTTTTGAGTGAAAATTTACCATTTTCCTTTTTTTTTTTTATTTTTTTGGAAATTTCTTATCTTGAAATTAAGATAAGCAAATCGTTAGTATTATTACTTCTAAATCTCAGCATTTTATCTGATTAAGAAATATTAGAAATAATAGGTCAATATAAGATTATCATCAACTTTGAAAGGAAAAGAAAGAATCAAATCAGTTGATCAATATCAAAATTCATTTGATGATTATTTTAGTAATAAGCTAATTCTTATTGATAAGAAAGTGATTGATGATCAAAAAAATAAAAATAATAATATAAATTTTGTGATCTTATTTATAATAAATCAGAACTAATTCCAATTGAAGAATAATATATTTATAATAGAAGATGATCATAGGTTTAGTGATAATGATTATAAGTTAAGTAAAGATAATATTCCATTTGAGCGATTTACTGCTTCTGATTTTAATGATTTTGATAAATCAGATTATGAATATTTTAACATGAATATTAACTTCAATAATCTGTTGATATTATTATAGACATTACATTCAAATTTCAAGCAAGATTTGCCTTTACTGATATTGTTATTATTTTACTTATTAAGTTTTATAATATGTTTTTATTTGATACTGATCAGTCACATTTAAGGTTGCTAGACAAAATTCAGAGT